AATGTATGGAATTAGAAGTACCATAACAACTTCTAAATGAAATGCATATTAATGCAGGTTGAAGATCGGGAAGGCAACACTAAAGGAGAAATGAAAATGTAAGCATGCATTAAATCACAAAATATTAAGTTTTGAAAGATTAATAAAAATAATGGGGTGCATATATAAAATGATGTGCAGCAATTTGAAAGCAAAACAATAGGTTGAGGCTAGGATCATTCAAAATTGTTGAAGAAAAATAAAATAATTTGACAAGTGCCAGCTCTAGAAACTGTGAGGAGAAAGAAGAACTAAAAAGCTTGCATGGAAATATGAATAATGATGATGATGATGATCATAAAGCAAAAACTCCAACTGCAACTAACATTCCAGTCCCACCGCCGGCATAATCTAAACTTGAAACTTAACTTTTTAATGCATTTACGACTTCCTCATTCCATACACAAAACTCTCCTCATGCGATGCTCCTGCCGGCACTTTCTACTTCACTTATACCATATTTTAAGAAACGCCATAACTATAAACCTTATATCATTACTCTTATAAACACACTTGAAAAGTAAATTTTTTTATTTTTAGCTACAGTTTCATACATTAAGTATGCTCCAAGGAAACGAGCTAAAGTGGGTTAACCTGATGAATAATGTAATTTGAAACCTCTATTCCATTTAGATATGAATCAAGAATAAATCAAGAATTAAAAAATTTTATCATCACTACAAGTCAGCTTCATAATGCTACCATTCATTCCTGTAAGTAATACATGACATGTTAACTCTATAATGCCTAAATTCTGTCACAGCTGCTAGCCATGTTACCTCTGGTCTGCATCTTTTACTTCTTCTACATTAATTTTCACTGCCCACCTTATTGGTTCATGTATGCCTCCTTCATATAGGCTCAAATTAAAAGTTTATTTTGCAAGCAAGGATTAATTATTCAAGCTCAATGAAAACAACTCCTTTAGGGATCCACAAAAAGACAATCTTGAGAGGATTCGCATTTGTTTTACTGCACCACTAAGACAAAATCCATGAATTACCTTCTATACCCCAACTAAAGTTTGAAGGTCCTAACATGCAAAGAAGCAGGACTTGACCCTCGAGTGCAACTCCTTGCAATTTTTGAGATTTTAACAAGTAATTTTAATTATTTAGAGCTCAGAAGTTCATTTGATTTTCATACTCATTCTGGTCTCCATATAATAGGAGCACTGTATAAAATATCTACCGAAGCTGCATATAAATTATCTTTAAACTCAGACAAAAAGCATGTCCTTGTGGTTCTCATAGACCGAAAACCTAATGAAAGCAAGCTTGAGCTTTGAGCCCAGAACATGGCCTTCAGTGATGGCACCTTTTTAATCTTGATACATTACCCATCAACAACATTAGTTGTATCCCAAGTATCCCAACTATCTAAGGTTGGCATCATGAATCTTAATTTTTCCTTCATTTCAATTAAGTATTGTTTAAGAAATTGAACTTACACTCCACAAATTATTTTAAACAACATCTATAGATGTAACTTTATTTCTATTCATTTTCCTTCATAATCACTTTATGAATTCCTGTAAGCATGCACTTTTCACCCTTTGTCTTTCATGTCTAAGCCACCTAATTTTATCTTAGTCATCATAGCTTCAGTAGATATTACCCAGCATTTAATATAATCATTCATTACATCATCCTTCCTAATGTTGCTACATATTTATCTGACCATTATTATTTTTACTTCACTAAGATATCAATTGCTTTTATAGCCCAACATTCAAATCCATATATTTCAGACAATCTAACAGTTGTTTCATAAATTCTCTTAAAAGTCTCCAAGATATGAATTTGCCACCCAAGTCAACAGGCATTTTTTTCGTTTAAATTAATCAGTCTCAACACTAAAGGTTATATCATCATCTGTCTCTCTTTTGTGTAATGAATAAAACATGCTTAAACCAATACTCAAGTATCTACCAATGTTGATTGATAATGATTATCATATCCATTAAAATTATATATTATATTAAATAATAGTTCTTCTAAGTCTGAGGCATTTATCTTCTAAACATGTTCTTCATTTTTCTAGATTTTCAAAATTTTCAATGTAAATGACCAATTAAAACTATATCATTGATAAAAAAAAAATCGATATACCTCATTTTGAATATTATTTATAAAGCATCTTCACATATAACATACAAAAATATTAACACAATGTTGATTCTTGATGCAAAACAATATTTAGATCACTCCACAAGCACTAATAATACTAGCGGTGTTTCACCATGAGAAATTTTAATAATATCTTTGACATAAATCTAAGCCTTAAAGCACAACTAATCAATTACCAAAGTATTGGATTAGATTCCTTCTTAGGATTAATAAAAGCCATATAAAAATCATTTTTTGATTCTCTACACTTCTCTGTAAATAGTCTTAAAAAAAGAAATAATTTTCATATCAAATTTTCAAGACATCAAACTAAATTGGTTATCTGAAGTTCTCACATAATTTCATTGTATGACACATAAATATGATTCATCAATCTTGAATAATGCATTTATTCTTAAATATTAGTACAAAAATATTTTTTTCTTATCATTCTTTGCCTGCAAAATTCTTTTGAAAAGATATGTTAATCAAATCATTATAATATCCCCCAAAATTTTCCAAATATCCTATATATCTTGATCATCTAAACCAAAAGTTTTATATTTATGCCATTATTAGAGCTAACTCTTTCATTTTTTCTGATTAATCTATAATATACTTTATTATATTATTCATTATACTCTTCCAAAATAATTCTTCACATTTAGTAATCTCTTAAGGGTAACATTTTCATCCTTTCTTGATGTAATCATCATTAACTAATACCCTATTACTTTCACTTTTAAAGAATCTAATCAAATAAAAAATCTTAGATCTCCTGCCTCTTATATTAACTACTAGATAAATCACTTTTTTATTTCTTCTTTGGTGTCAAGTCTATTATATAAATCATCCAAAGTTATGCCTTTTGTTTTACTTCCCGACTTCTTTACAAAACATCTAGCTTTATTATAATTCTTTTAAAACGTTACGAGCTATCAATTTTTGTCAGCTTTTAAGAGCATGTTTTTTTTACTTAATAGCCCTTTGTACCTACTTACTCCACCACCAAGCATTTATGATTTATTTTTAAACACACCTACAGCTTTTAAAACAATCTTTCTAACATAACTGGCCATTTTAATTAACAAAAAAATTGGCTAAAAAAATTCTAGGAAGTCTCTCAAAGCACCAATCCTGAATAATTAATTGATTTTTAACTTCCAAATTTTACCACCTTATCCTAGGGTTATAATTTTTTTCAACTTTTTCATTGTACTGTTAAAATATATATATCCAAAACTACTATAATCATATGTCATTTTGACAAGCTTTGTTCTAAAATTATTTTACTATTTTACAATCTTTACAAGAAAATTTATCTTTTCTTCTAAGAAAAAAAATAAAGTATGTGTTTTTCATTGCAAGATTATAGGATATTATAAAATCAAGTTTAGCTTCTCTCATTACATTTTTGTCACTTAGTCCATGAGTACTAAACACCTTCATAATATCTTTGTCAATACTTATCTTCATAGCAATCACCGTAGCACTAACCCAATTACATTCGCAATTTTATCTTAAAACTCTTTATGCACTACAAGCCCAACTCCTCATATTGTTAACAATTTCAAAATACAATAATTTAAAACATTCCCAAATATTCTGGTATTTTCTCCAGTCCATTTAGTTTCTTGTATACAAGTAATATTTAATTTTCTTATTAAGGTGTCCATTAAATCCCTCGTCTGCCCATCCAAAGATTCCAAATTAAGCGGCCAATCTATTCTTAGATTTCGATCTAAGCAATCCTTCCTTACTATGCACCAAAATCGGGTTAACTCTTGACTTGTCACTTAAGGGTGCCTCCAAACCCACACTTGCATACTTTGCACAATAAACAAGTTGTAGTGCATCACTTAAGGATGGCATCTTAGCCCGCCCTCGTCTACTTCTCACAATAATCAAGTTAAGTGGTGGCAAGGTGCTTATACAAAAACTTGAGTTTTATGACCAACTATCAACCTAATATTAACCCTCTGTGGTGTCATGTTGCTTCTAGAGAAATTTGAGTTCAACGACAAACAATCAACCTACTCTCAACCCTAAATCTTTCTCATTTTAGCTAGGGACTAGCAACAATGGTAGTAAAAAGCAAAATATCACATGTAAAAATAATAATAACGCTTGAAACAAAATCTTGATAACTTTACTCGAGCAAAGTAACGCGGCTCAATCAAAATATACCAAAACACAAAATATTCAGGTCAACATGAAATCAATTACTCGAGTTCTATTGCGTGATTCTCCCTAAAAAGATTAATTGAAATGATACGGTAACCTCAAAATGAAAGAAAAGAATTACTAATGCTCACGTCATAATCATGCATATTGTAAGCACTTTGTTGTGTAAGCATTCAAATTCAATTATATTTTCATATAATATATGTACAATGACGGGAAGATCAAATGATTGAAGTAATGCAAGTATGCAAACAATTTCGTCTGAGCATGATGAAACAAGCACAAGTCAAAAATAAACAATGATGACCACAAAGACAAATAAAATAAGCAAATATTTAAAAGCATATCAGCTTACCTCATTTGGAGAAGATAATAGAAAAATTTTTATTGTAAGTTGGAACTAAGTTCAGTCATAGAATAGTTCACAGTGCAATTTTGAAAAGTCTAGAATTTTTTTAAGTATATGCATGAAAATATGTCTGTACACAAACATGTTTGAAATATAAACTCACTATGTGCAGCACAGACCCTAGCAAGCTCCATAATTCAAGTTAACTCCCTTTTTAGAAACATAAAATGATAAAAGAGGCTTTGGACAAAAAGAGATGACTCTCAAAAACAAAAAATAAAAGATAAAAGAGGATTTTAAGAGAAGACAAACAAGCATACCACATATAAAATCACTACTTATCCCCACATCGGGAATAACTGAACGTATTCTTTTCACGAGTTCCAGATACGCTTCCCTGGTATAGCCTCGTCGCATTCTCTGGAGTACAGTCGTGCTCCCTGTTTGAGCCGGTAGATGAATACTTCTGCATATATTATATCTATCCCTCATTAGATATAATAACTCATCAGGAAAATCCTTTGGGTGGGGAGACGTAAATCTGAAGCGCATCTCAGGAAATTTCATTGATAGTTGATCCAAGAGATCAGAAAAACGTAAACCCTTCTTCCTAACTTTGCAATTATTTGAGAATCCTTCACTTAATTCCCAATTAGATCCTGATTCAACATTTGTTACCCCAGAAAGATCATTGTAGCTGTTTACATTCTGTCCAAGAAGCATTACTTCCTTCACTCCTTTTTCCTGTAACTCACCCACCTCTCTCAGAACTGATTCTACAGGACGAGATCGCTCCCTTCCTCTTGTGAATGGAACAATACAAAATGAGCACATATTATTGCATCCTCTCATTATCGATACAAAAGCTGAAATAGGGTTGTTTGAGATTCTTACAGGACTAATATCAGCATAAGTTTCCTCAAGGGAAAGTAATGTGTTTATTCCCTTCTGACCATATTCGACCTCTTCCAACAAACGAGGTAAATCTCTATATGCATCGGGTCCGCAGACCACATCAACCATTTTGTCAGCATCGAGTATTTTATCCTTTAACCTCTCAGCCATACACCCCAAAACAATGACTTTTGGAGGATGCACGGAGGTACACCTTCCAGTAGCGACATTAGCCTTCCATTCTCTTTTCAGAAACCAGAAGTAGTTGATTCTCTGCCATACCTTTTGTTCGGCATTGTTTCTGATGGCACATGTGTTGATGAAGATGATCTCTGCATTCTCCGGGGCCTCAACGATATCTGTATACCCGTCTTTCTTCATGATCGATAGCACGATTTCCATATCGTTAACATTCATCTGACACCCATACGTCTCTTGGTAGATACGCCCTTTATTTGTACCTTTATAAGTTGATTCTACACTAAATGAAAAAAGGGAGAGGAAAGAATTTAAGTGAGGACCCATTTGGATACTTGAATTTAGAAATGTGCTTTGAAAAATGAAAAAAATTAGAGGACCGGTTGTTTGTTTGTGTGTGTAGTTAAAAAATCTGCATTAGCTTCAAGCTTCACAAATACTCCCAAAACCTCTTAAATATAGTGAGTTCAGTTTCTCACACTAAATGAATAAAAACTACATCTTGATTTTCCAAAATGTATTTTCTATTCACAGACAATAAAATAAGCACATAGACTTGTTTAAACTAAGGGATTGTTTGCCTGCAAGTAGGATTTAACTCAATTAGGGTTTAGTAAATCCTATAAATTCATATTACTAAATCCCACGTTAGTTAAATCCTAAAAATTGCTTGGCATGCCAGAGGTTAAATTCAATTAAATCATGAGAAATTGTTTAGCTAATTCAAGATTTGAGGCAATTAACTCAAGCAGAAGTTAGTAAGAAATCATTTTGATAAAAAGCAAAAAAAGAAAAAAAAGCTAAATGATAACAGATAAAGATAATAAAAAACCGCCTAATGCCGCAACGACGAGAAAGATCCAAGACTACAATAAATTTGAACACTTGGTTTTATTAATCAAGTTGAGAGACACCTTTGAGTCATTACTTACGATTAAAATAATAAATAATTAAATTACAGATTAAAAAAAAATTTAAGTTCTAATTATGACAACAACTAAATCAACAAGCCTTTATCCCACTGTGTGGGGTCAGCTACAAGAATCATTTTTCTCCATCAAGTCCAATTGAGTGTCATATTTTCATTTAATTTCAATAAATTAAGATCATTTTTTATACAAAATGCCCATGTCTTTTTATAAGTCTTTCTAGTTCTCTCTGTCTTTCTCAACATAAGTCAAATCTAAAACATCTGCTCTCCTAACTGGATTATCAGATGGTCGAAGTTTAATGCGACCAAACCATCTAAGACTACTTTGTCTAATTTTGTTTGCCACTGGAGTTTTAATTAACAAAGTAAAAATCTTACATGTGCTTTCCACATATCATGACAATTGGATGGATGTCTCACAGCATCACCTTGAATTCTCTTCTCAACTATTGCATTTAAGCATTTAAGTTTGGGCCTTCATCAATCATCATAGGCTTCGATCTCACTCAATTTACCATCATGTTGCATCTCAATTTTTAACATGTTAAAATAAATATCATGACCATGACAGTGACCACTAAAATCGTGCATCACTGCACACATAACATAATACATGCCTAAACAATTAGAAAAACATTATTTCATGTGTGCTAACACTTGAAATCTCTTCTTCCAAATGCAACAAATTTTCTCGACTGTTACACAGTTAAGAATTGCGATAGTTGTACGACTCCTGCAATATTGAGTATTATAATATGTGTTGCTAGGGCTGTCAAAAAAGCTCGTTGTTCGCAAACAGCTCGTGTTCGGCTCGTTAAGTAGCTCGTGTTTGGCTCGTTTGTTAAGCAAACAAGAACAACTTTTTAAAGCTCGAATTATAAACGAACCGAACACGAACAGTTCTTTGTTCGCTCGTGTGGTAATGTGGTTAATATTTTCTTTTATATTCATTTGGTCCAGGTTCGAATCTCACACTTTACATCTATTTTTTTCAATTTAATTTTTATGAGTCGAACACGAACACAATGTTCACGAGCCGATTACGAACACAATGTTCACGAGCCGATTTCGAACACAAGCCGATTTCGAACACGAGCTATTTCAAACGAGTCGAACACGAGTCAAGCCTGAGCTCGCGCAAGCTCGGCTCGTTTACAGCCCTATGTGTTGCAATGGCACTCACTTAGATGGTACTAACATCTAGGATGACATAACTTATCAATGTAAGTATAACCCAAGTTAATCACGTAATATTTTTCTTATGATACTCTTTAACGCTCCTTAACTAACCTTTCTATCACCCACATATCAATTGCTTGTATTACTACTACAACAACAAGCTCTTTATCCCACTAAGTGGGGTCGGCTATATGAATCTTATTTTTCCATTGTGTCATATTGAGTGTCATATTTACGTTTAATTATAATAAATTAAGATCATTTTTTAAACAATATGTCCAAATCTTTTCAGGTCTACCTCTACTTTTCTTAACATAAGTCAAATATAAAACATCTACACTCCTAAATGGTTCATCAGATGGTTGACATTTAATGTGAACAAGCCATCTAAGATGACTCTCTCTAATCTTTTCTACCACTAGAGATACCCAACCCTTTCAGAGATATGTTTGTCTTGCATTTTGTCACTAAGCGTAAAGCCACACATCCACCAAGTATTTTCATCTCAGCAATATTTAATTTTATGCTTCTCAAGCATGAATTTTCTATCACCCAACAAACTCTACTTCAACCATCCAACTTGAATTCTAATAATAACATCCTCATATATATCACCATCATTTTGAACAATAGATCCGAGATATCTAAAACATTTACTCATTTTAATTATTTGATCACTCATTGTTACAACCCTGCCAATAGATCTACTACTATTAAAATTATATTCCATGCATTTAGTTTTAGATTTACTCAAACGAAAGCTTTTAGAATGTGAAGTGGGCCTTCATAATTCAAAATTTTCCTAAACTCTCTCACTCTATTCTTATCCACAAGAAAAATATCATCAATGAAAAACATACACCAAGATACATCCTTTGTAACTGTTCAGAAAGAACATCCACAATTAAAGCAAAAAAATATGAATATAAAGTGGATCATTGATGTAATCCTACTAAAATAGGAAAATACTTGGTCAATCCTCCTTATGCTCGAACACAACTAACAATGTTATTATCGGGTCCCAAGTCCTTGATGCGTAAAGTTGAATTTCATGTTAGGTAGTTGACATCTAGATAATTTTCTTTTGTTGAACAACCATATCAATTTCCTGTACTACAAGATTAAAATATCAATTCACAATTTCTACAAACTTGTGCAAAGACTCGCACAATTGTATGTAACTGTGAGTATGTGCAACCCCTAAGAGATACATCCCCAATCATTCAACAATACAAATGCCTAAAAGGTAGACTGAAATAATTACAATCCCGTAGTGGATGTTTGGATAGTATATTTAGAACATTTTGATGACCAGTTAACCACTATCCAATCTATTGAACATTGGCCTTCCAATGTGTATGTCCTTATTGAAGAATCAGTTATCCTCAATTATCAGAAAAAATTTTCTGTCTGGACTTCAGACGTAGCTCTACGTGCAAACTCCCAGTAATATACTGTCATGTGTGTTATATCTGACCAACTTAAAAAATATTAAAGTGAAACTGCAGATTCCGCAATAACCCCGAAGTAACCTCAAAATAACCTTCGTGGTTCCATTTCAATAAACCCAAAATAACACCGTGGAGGTTATTTGAGGGGTTTTTTTGGGTTATTTCAGGGTTATTGAGGAGAAACTCGTATATTTCACTTCAATAACATTGAAATAACCTTTACTGTGTTATTTCGAAGTTATTGAAGTAGAACCGTGAATGTTATTTTGTGGTTATTTATGGATTATTGAAGTGGAATGTATGAGTTTCTCTTCAATAATTCAGAAATAACCCCAAAATAACCTCCGCGGTTTCACTTCAATAACCCCGAAATAACATCCACGATGTAGCACACGTGACATCATAATATTGGAGTCCGCACGTAAAGCTACGTCCTGAGTCTAGACAGAAATTTTTTTCTCATTATCAAAGAAATTATTGCACTAATAGCAAAATTAACTTCTTAAAAGTATCAACTATGTCACATATAGCACCAGATTACGTAAATAAGAGCTACTGAGTCCGACTTGTTTTGTCATTTTACCATAAATTTATTAACTCCACCAAACTATCAAATTTAGTAAATCTGGAATTACAATAAAATTTTAAATGAGATTTAAAAAATTTTAGAACTTATTTTGGTCATTAAGAATATTTTACAAGATTTGGCTAAAATATACTACAAAATAGCCCCAAACGAAATATACACAACATTTCAACATGTTGAAAGAACAAGTTGGCTATGAAACGAAACCACAAAATTTTCTTTTACAAATAATTCCATTAGGAATCTCAAAATTTTAAAACAAGCAGTCCAATGTTGGCTCTAGCAATGTTAGGATTCACTTATGTTTTATATTTTGTTTTATATATAAAAAAATAAGTACTTGAGTGTAAAAACAAGCTCAGCACTTTTGCTTTCATTTCTTAATTTTGGAAACAAAATAAGTAAGTTCCTTAAATTATAGAAGCATTCTTATAAGTATTTACTATTTTGAACCTGTTTTAGAATAGGCCTAAGGGGAATTTTAGATTAATTAGGCCAACTAGATTTTAATTAGGATACTATTATAATAAAAAGTTGAATCAAGTTTAAGTAAGGTTTTAGTTGATATCTTTCTTTGTATTTAATTTTACTAATGAATTAGTTTAATAATTATTTAAATTAATTGATTATAAATTATTTATTTATACTATTTAGGATTAATTAAAGAAGTAAATAAGGTCAATAAAGCTTAATTGTTATATAATAATAATAATAGTAATAACAATAATTCAATCTAGTTTAATGACTAGATTTAATATCTAAAATGTTTGGTAGTTAACTACTTAATTAAGTTAATTAGGTTTTGATTAAAATTATATTTTATTAGTATTTAATATGATAATTGATGGAAGGATAAATTGATTTGGAGTAATTCATAAGTTATTTAGCTAAATTAAAACTAATTAATATTTATTAATATTTTATTAATTTTTAATAATGATAATTAGTCTGTAAAATTATCGATTGATTCATAAAAATCTAGGGTAATTGGTAACTATTTGCCTCGTATAATTAGGCTTTAGTTCGAACTTTGATTAGGAAAAATAATTTTTTTTTGTTTATTATGGTAATAGGCATGGTATAATGAATTAATCAATTAAGCGGCCACATTAATAAATAATTAAATACTTTTATAAATATTAGATAAATTTATTATTTATATATATATATATATATATATATATATATATATATATATCTGTTTATGATTAACTATTAATTGGAAGCTTATTGGGTTAATTAATATATATATATATATATATTAATTAACCCAATAAGCTTCCAATTAATAGTTAATCATAAAAGTAAATTAAATGAATTAGAAAAATTATAAATTTAATCTGCATAATTACTGCCTAGTTGGGATTAAATATGGACTAAAAATATTTAATTATGTTTTTTTTTTTTTAAGAAACATGTTTTCTATTTTCTCATCCAAGTTCCTAAAGTTTTAGGCTTGATTGCCAACAAAACATTTAACCAAAAACATTTCTCTTAGGACCACAATTTAAGGATATTTAAAAAAAGTGAGAAAGAAAACGAAAGAAAAAAAGGGTGTTTTATACGTTCTTGCTTGTGGAGAAGAAGCGATATTGCTTTCAAATCTAGTTTCTCTAAATAATTTTGTTAGAAAGAGGTGATGAATTAAATGTGTTTCAGCCTTTGGTCATTGAGATAGCTTAGCTCAAATGCAGATGCCCAAACAGTTGTAAACACAAGTGAAAATTTCCTTTAACCAAAATCAACCAATATCCCACAAATCTAAGTTGTAAATTCAAAAGAAAAAACAAAAAAGAACAAAGAACAAAGAAAGAAGTGCACTGCACTAGCTGTTCTAGCACAACTTGAGAGCCTTGGTGTTGCCATCTTTCCTTGTTAAGCAATTTAATGATGTTATACTCTCTTTCTCTCCTCATTTCTCTATTGCTCACTACCTAAGCTGTAACACCCAAAATTTAATAAGCCAATTAAAATTTTTGGCGATTTTAAAACATATTATAAATTCTTGCATCCCTCAAAATTCAATCGAATCAATTTTATGAAATTTTACGCATTAAATCGATCAATTCGATATATAGCACCAAAATTGAATTTTCAATGCATGAGAAGATATAAAATTATAAAGTATAAGCTTAATTAACTTTTAATTAATCTTAATTAATTCCCGAATCTCCCGCACCTTCAGTGTTCACAGTCTACTCTCCAGCACTTCCTCGTGGTCCAATGAGATTGAACGGCTAAGAATTAAATAGGATCATGTTAAAAATGTTGCACTCCCCCATTATCCCATCTCCCTGCTCTCATTTTCACAAACTAAAGAGCTCCCAAGATCGGGGTACTGTAGTCATACAAACTAGGTGACTTGTCGAGTGTCGTAACTCACGACAGTCCCATGAAAAAATCCAAAGGTATAAAAATCACTTTGGCAATATTTGAGACATTCTTATCCTTACTTTTTCAATTTGAAGTTTGTCATGAATATGTACATTTTTCTCGTTTATGGTAGCTGTAGCGAAGACAAACTTATATCGGAAGTGATAAAATGATTTGTGGGCTTCCATAAGGGCTCTCAGCACGAAATCATCAAGGTAAAGGGAGGATTAAAGGAATAGAAAGAATAGGGACGAATAATAAGCAAGATTGAAGAAGAGTTTATTATAAAGACAAAACAGTTTGAGATAAGAATTCGTAAATAAATTATGCTATTGGTTAAATCATGAAATGGGCTAAGATTTCATAGAATCTTATGATGTTTATGAATCTTAGGTTGTCTACACATTAGGCAACAAGCTCGACAAAAATTTGAGAAAACTCGTTGTATGGTTGCTCTGTCAATTAAAGTAAAATAATTTTATGTTGACTTAAAATAATTCTATTCAGGTTTTCATATGATTCCATATTTGACGTTGTTGTATTTAAAATTTTTTATATTGTGGATGAATATCTACATTGAATGTATGAATGCAAATTAATTTCACCTTACGATAGATGTGATTTTATTATGCTATAAATCTGATGAGTATGTTTATGAAATTATTGTCTGTATACGGTCATTTAATATGATTCATAAATATGTTATATTAAATATCTGATAAATGTTTGTTGCAAGAATTATATTTTAAGTAATATCATAAGTGATGTTATAGGTAAGCTATTACAAGAATACTTGTAAATACAGATGATGGGAATAAGTGGGATTCCTGTCTCCTGATATTTAGATGAAGACAAAACTTAGGGAATTGTTGGGATTAGATGACGACGAAATTTAAGGAACCATTGGTACCAAGAGATTATTGATAATTGCTATGTTAGGGTCAACTTATATCAATAGCTAATGTGGACTTCGGGCTTAGTAACAACTCAATGACATTATATGAGAATAGTTGAGGCTTATACAATTATAAGTGCCATTGTTATGATTAAATTGATGATTATTATGAACGTGCTTATAATCATACATAAATGAATGAAATACATGTTTTATACAACAATCATGATTCTCAGCATTACATGCATTTTTTATTCATGTTTTATATGTTTATAGTATGTTGTGGCATGTGTTATGGACACGTACTAGATAACATAAGAGCATGCACTTTTGTTTCTTTTTCCTGACGCAACATTTTCTCTTTTCTCAGAGGCTTGAAGACCAATGATGTAAGCACATAAACCACAGAAAACCCCAAATAAAATCAGTTTAAAGGCTAAAGAATCAGCATTTCTTGTAATGTTTACTAGGATATGCATGAATTGGGGCATTCCGTGTCCTATGAACCTAAAACAAGCCGTTGAGGTATCTGCCCCAACAAAAGAATTCTTCGAGCTTGAAGCCAGAGAAAAAAAAATACATGAAAGAGCAGAAACAATTACAGATTCAATTATGCAAACAGAGATGAGAAAAAAAAATAAATAAATAACTTACTCTTGTTTTACAATGGTCTCGGACGCGATGGCAGTGGCCGACAGGACGGCGGCGAAACGGCATATGGTTGGAGAGAACCTGACCCTAACGAAACTGGAGCTCTTGGGGAATGGGTGTATGCACCTCAAGTTTATAATTTGAGGGGAACCGTAGGTTGTCAGAGCAGGAAGACATCGAGAAGAAACGGAGCGAGGGGGAATGGTGGAAGAAGGGCGATGCAGCGAACGGAATTGAAGACTCACTCGTCTCCGCAGCGAGAGATTGATGCTGATGGTCGAGTTCGGGTGGCTCCACAGAGAAGCCATGGGGATAGTACTCGCACGAGTGAAGAAGAAGAAGGGCGGAGGAGAGCCAGATTTCAGGCCTAGCGTATGCTTGGGTGCTTCGAGCTGAACAGCCCGGCCATTATATTATTAAAAAGTCGGACATAAGATGTCAATCCATGATGTTGCATAAGTTATGGCCCAAAGATAACATGTTAAGATGGCAGGATCAAATATATCCTTCACAATCTTAAATCAAGTCAAAACAAATAAAGAAATGCTAAAATTTGTTTGGGTGCAATGACAAAGCAAAGATTCATTCACTTTTTCTTCTTAGACTAAAAACATCATGTGGTATGAATTTTTTGCTTGGATGGAGTAGTGCTGTAGGTTTATTCTTATTATGATTTGATACGAACTATTATAATATGTACATCATTTTGGTGTATTTTTTGAATATCTTAACTCAATCATTCTCAAAAAAGACCTAGTAAGAGGTTATATTTGACTTTGATTGGTCGCATGAACTAGCGAGTGCAGTCGTATCGGCTCACTTAAATTTTCTTTCTTAAAAGGGCACATTTTAACTATCATAGTTTAAAATATATTTCTCTCATTGTTGCAGGATTGTTGTTATTATAAAATAGTTCATCTTCCTTTTCTCTAGTGGTGGCATTAATCTCTCTCTCTCTCTCTCCATCATTGGGACCTCTCTCTCTGGTGAGCATGAGGCATCTTTGTGAAGATGCCCGTCTTCAGCTTATTGGAGAACACAATTATATACACTTTTCCAAGGTCTCCACAAAGGATTTTCATCCATCTTTGTCTCCACCTTACTTCATGTTCTTTGTCGATTCCATAGTCATGCGATGTTTTCTACCGGACTGTATGTATTCACGGACCATACGAAATCTTACATCCCAAAAGGATTCAACAAACAACCTAATGAATCAAGTCACGCAGCTTTAATATCAGATGATTATGATGATTGATAACTTAAACAGGAATAATTTAATTTATAATCCAAAACAATCTCAGAAGTAAGGAAATGTTGATTTTAGAGAAATATCTCATCAACATATGATCATAAGATTTTAATGCGAGCCTTGATTAAAAAGAAGATGAATTAGAAAATAAGGATATTAGCTTTATTTCAACACGAAACGTGAACTCTTTAAGGTAGAGATGGAGTTTGTGATCCTTACCTTTGATGGGATGAAGTTGAATGTGTGAGTAGACCAGCTTAATACTTTAATCTTATAGGTAATCTTTTGAAGATAACATCTTATAATCTTATAAAACATGCATTGACTTGATAGAACAATCATTAGATATATGGTTTTCAATTTATCTTTAAGAGTTAATTCGGGATTTTTATCTGAAAAGAATACACTCCCATGATCAATGCAAGAGAAAAAATATAGAGAGAGTGGCATGAGTTGCCTCAACAATAAGACAAAAACATATATGATTATAACATGGAATTTAGGAGAGAGGATTCAATGACATTAATTATTAGAAAATGTGTCCACATCAATCAAGAATAATTATAGGGATGCATGAAACAATCTCCATGGTGCATTTTATCTTCCTCACCAAAGATCTAGTTCAAAGTGTTACGTTTGAATGACAATCAAGAAAATATTGAAATTTTCATATAGAGCATAAGAGAAAGAGGATACATGTTGTCAAGAAAAGAAGTGGATATGGAGGAGTTCAAACATAGGTAATTCTCCAAACTTATATTTTATAAACAATATTTTTTTATGAACATTTCTACATCTTTAGACACCATAAAACAAGTGTTAAAAACTTCATTTGTCATTGCTTTTGGATAAATAGGAATAACGTGGAAACCATTTTAAGTGGGATAAAACTCTATAGTTAATAAATCATTCATTATCTAGACTTTCCTTGATTTTAATTAACCATGATAACTAGTGCAAACATGAGAAAGTACTCTCTATACATATCTAAGCAATGCATTAGGTTATTTATCACTATTCACTTTGACTTATGAAATTAAGAAAATTTGATCTCAAAGAATTTAGCCAATTTGTTTAGACTTTAAATGAATTCTCATCTATAACACATCCTCTTGATTGAATTAAAAAATATTTAAAGATGTATAATAACAAACAATGTTATGTTAACTTTGTAATCGCTCTAGCAAACATCATTAAAGTATTAAATGAAGCGTTGTAGCTTTGTATATACCATATCAACTTTATAAGCCCATAAGTATGTGACCAATATGTTATATTTTCGAGTGAATATAAATGTTACTGGTTATATAAAGATAAAGTGTGATGCTCCATTAATAAAGATAAGGATTATTGGCCTTTATACTTGGTAGTGGTAAAAAAGTGGAGGGAGTACTAAATATAAGCTAATACTTTATACATTTGATGACATGATAAGGGAATCTTGATAGGAATGCCAATGTTTATCATTAAATAGAATTCAATAAGAGTAACTTTAGATGAGAAGAAGAAAAAAATACTAACTTCAAACTCAATAATTAGTAGCTGATGTTTTAGCAATTGGTTCAAGACTACTGATAGCTTTAATGAGAACTAAAAATAATGCATCCAGAAACAACTATGTAGTCTAAATTAAAATTTTTTTAGTTTCAATCATGTCCAATATCATGACATACTATCAAAACGGCTCGTTGCTTGCGAACAGCTTGTGTCCGGCTAGTTTGTTAAGCTTGTTCGTGTTCGACTCAAATTGGCTCGAAAAGAAAATAAATAAATTTTAAAAATACAAAAATACTGCGAAATTTCACAATATTATCGGTGTAATGCCAATACACCGTAGAATAACACCCCATTTTTAATTATGTGGGTGTTATTTCGCTTGTCATTCTGTGATGTATCGGTGCAATCATTCTAAATTATATGTTAATATTTTTTTGGATGATATTATTAAAGCCTATTTCGTGCACGAGCGGGACAAGGCATGAATATGTTATTGAAGCCGAACAAGAACACATTGTTCAGCCGTCGGCTCGTTTACAGGCTACAGCCCTACCTACCTGAAACCCTCCCGGTTTCACCCGAAACCATCGCCTTCGTGAACGCGCTCGCGATTAGAGTTAGCTGGGAAGGCAACGAACCAGCAACGACGAGATCGCGGCGTACAGAGATCACCGAAACTCCCATCTCTTCGCTCGGCTCCTAGCAGAAACCATCGAGAAAGGTAATCCTGTTCGCGCCATTCTTCCTCTTCCCTCTTCCCGGATTTACTAATAAATCCGACGAACAGCAGAATTTAGTAAACCCGGAATTTACCACTAAAATCCGTGAAGTCCGGATTTGAATTCCGTCGCTTTCGTTTGTCCAAACTCGAGCGTCTGGATAAAATACAAAGATGAATGTTAAACTACGATACTTGGCGGAAATGCATGTGAGGCGAAGTTTTTTTTTCTGAATTATTTTCTTCCCTACCAGGTGGTGATGATAGTTGTGCTCTGAGGTTGGACGGTTAGTTTAAGAAGGATGGTGCTGGTTCTAGCGCTTGGTGATCTCCACATCCCTCTCAGGGCATCGGATTTGCCGTCAAAGTTCAAGTCCATGCTTGTTCCTGGGAAGATCCAGCACATCTTGTGCACTGGTAATCTATGTATCAAGGTAACTATAATTTTTATAAGTTGCTGGTAGCCGAGCTTGTTGTTCTTTTTCGCTTGTTTTCATAGTTCTGTCTGCGGTTTTTCTCATAATTCCCTTTTCACTCACGGCCACAGCTACACCTATGAACAAAAAAATCTAGGGTTGTACAATGGGCCGGTTTGCAAATTAGTCAAACTCAGTGAAACTGAACTAAGGGTCTGTTTGGGGCAGCTGCAACTTATCCAATATATCCAGATAAACAACTTATCTTGATAAGCTGCTGATCCAATAAATTGGCTAGCTATTTGGTCTGTGCTTTTGGAAAACAGCTGATTTGCTGCTGTTTTTGGATAAATGACCATTCTATCACTGGTCTAGATAAGCTGGCTAATTGTTTGATTTATGTGTTTGAAAAACAACTGATTTGCAACTGTTTCTGAATAAATGAATGCAGACCATATGGTGTGCCTCTAGAAAAATGATTGATAAAATATTTGTGATATTGTTATTTCTATCAAAGACGAGCATCAAATTTTCTACTATATTGGCTCTCTCTCAATTTAATTATGAAATATATGCATGACACATTATTTTTTTGTGTCAAATATTACAATATCCACAAGGCAAATTTGTAGATTGCCATCTTTAGCCACTCCCTCGAGCAAAAAAAACTTTATATTGTGTATCCATAAATCTTTTGAATAATGTTCAAGCATAGCTCGAATGCTTGTTCAAGCGCATGTTCAAATCATATTCAACTATTTATTTGAATATGGTTAAAATACAACTCAAATAACAATCAAACAACATAATTTGAAAGAAGTTTGAATGTTTATTTAAACATATTCAAATCGTGTACAATCATGATTGGAACTAGCTTCAGGCATAGTTCTAATGCATATCTTAATAATGTTGGAAACACGCTCTTTAATATTCTATATAGCTTTGTAGTAAAACTCCAATGATATATGAAAAGAAATATTATAAAAAATAGTATCCATGCCTGTTAAAATCACTGAGGAATGAAAAAATCTCAAACTTCACTGGTACAACCATCTTATTCTTCTGAGCAAGAAAATGTCAAACAAGAATATTGCTAATATAGCACTGAAGAAAGCCGAAGTGACAAAGAGCGGGACATCATTCTTCCTATTCATCAGAATATTGCTAATATAGCATTGAAGAAAGCCGAAGTGACGAAATGATGCTAGATTCTGTAATTACCTTAGTAACAGAGAGCAAAATTTTGGGATAGAGCTTCAAGAAGTTCTTTGAAAGAGACGAGAGAGGGAAAATCCCGTCTATGTTTGGAATTTAGAGACTGGGGAATGAAATCTTACAAGTCACCACTCCCCATTGACCACAGGCCAATGGCCTCCTTCCAGCGCTGCCTCTCCACCCTCGACTTCAACCCCCACTTAGCCGACGAACCCATTCACGACCGCCGCTCCCCGACAGTTGATTTTGCCCACCACCTCCACAACCATATCGCTCTAAATCCGAATTTGCCTTCTATGCCATCCCCCGATCGTGCACCAGAACCCTCTGATCATTGAAGATGTCTTTGTCGTCGATTGGGTTGCCGATCTCGACGGAGACATCGTCCCGTCTCCGGGATCGGGGATGCGGTTTTTGATCCCGAAGCGGGAGGGGATGCCCATGGCGGAGATCCTGCATGAGGGCAAGTGCGAACTTTTAACTCCAAACGATGGGCCACAGGGTCGAACATGCGGTCAACGTTTAATGTAATAGAAATCCGACATTTTGGAAAACGCCCGTCAAAAGTGACAATCAAACGCATTGGTTGTGTTTTGATAATGCAGAAGCTGGAAATAAGCTGTCCCAAACGGACCCTTAAGCTATTGTCGAGCTTTCACATGAATGTTCACACTTGGCTTGTCGAAAATTTTTAATAACTATATTTGTTTTGTTTATTTTAATTTGAAGAGCATTTCAACTATTTAATAAGAAAGATAACAAATTAATCGAGTACTTGAATTTTTATATAAAGTTATCAACAAATATTTTTATAATCTAAGCAAATAAGCTATTAAATAAACTTTGAATTACTTTTTAAATACTTTATATCAATTAAATAAGATAACATGTAAGTTGCAAATAAATTTTCTTGCCAGCAAATGCCATAAATAAGTACTAGTAAACTAGTTTATTGAAGCAAATAAATGTGAAGGGATTGTATTAAATTATTAAAGATATTGATATAAGACTATATCATGTTACTATTTGATGTATAATTAAATAATTTGTATTAATCAAATTTATTTAAATAATATAACATGTATTATAGATCATTTAATAAGTTATTTATTGAACAACAAACGAGTTTATTCATGAACATGAATAAATGAGTTGAATCATATTTATCTTTAGTTCATTTAATCTTAGTTTTTTTTAAATATTCAAACTTATTTTTCTTACTAATTCAAACTAAATTGATTGAATATTAATCAAATGGAGTTTGAATTATTCATCTGGGGCATTGGTTCATTTACTGCCCTAACTGTTATTACCACAGTCCTTAGAATAAGTTGGAAGAATATGTGGATTCATTTCTGCATTTCCGGGTTGAAAACAAATACCCAATTCCTTGATGTAGCCAACTATTTTCATGTGCTGGGGGAGTTCCTGCTAGCCTGCAATTTTGAACGTTCGTCCGTATGTAATTAATCATCCAGGAGTAAGACAACAATCGAGCTAACCAATTAAAGAAAAGAGAGAACTTGATGTTGTCAAATTTATTGGTTTGAAGAATTCACGTTGGTGTTGCTCTTCTTATTCATTTCTGAGCAATCAGGTCTAGAAACATGAATTTTAAGGTAATGGGAGGTATCCTGCAATGAAATAATACAAGAACCATAGTAATATTAATTCAATAATCGTGCGTTAAGTTTGAAGTAAAAGGAAACATAGAAACCTGGCTTAATTGCCTTCCCAGTTTTTAAGTAGTATACCAAGAAGGCAAGAAGTCCTCTTGGCTGAAAAAGATAGTGTTTTTTAGGCACCCAAATAAGAGCTTGTTAACCACTCGACAACCAATCTTGGTTAGGACATATAACCCACTTTGGCCTCCTCTCCTTCACATTTCCTAAATTTAGGAGAAATCCGCCCCAAGAAAATGGAAATTCCTCTCCTCTCGCTCAGGTTCAACCTGAAACATAACTCAAAAAAAATAAAAAAAGGGAACAAGGTTTTTTATAGAAGGCACAAAACTCTAAAAAACCCTGATTACAACACCAACCGTTATATAAAAAGGGCAAAATAAAAGAGCAAAAGCTAGAAATAACATAAAATAAAGGACTATCCCAGATAAACCATATCATGCTCCCTTGATAGGAGAAGGCATGCTCTTTATGTCTAGTTCATTGTCTCTTTTATACTAGAGTGAAGGATAAAATATTCATATATAATATGGTAATTCAATTTTATAAGCATTTCTTCTTGTGAGCTTAGTAAATCGGAAAGGTTCATCCTTGAAGTTTAAGTTTAGCGAAAGGCCCCAGACGAAATCATTCAATTCACAAATGAATCTATACTCGACCACCCTTCTTAAAAGAAACCAAACTACGAGGCTTGTTCGCTTGCTTCTAATATTGTGTTTTTATTTTTATTCATATCCCGGACTTGAATTATGACACTTAGGAGAAATGTACCTTGGTGTATGTTTTCACTGATGATATCCTTCTTGTGGATAAGACTGGAGAGAGAGTTCAGAAAAACTTGAATTATGAAGGTTAACTCTAGAGTCTAAAAGCTTTCATTTGTGTAGATCTAAAATTGAATACATGAAATGTAATTTTAGTAGTAGTAGATCTAGTGGCGGGGTTGTAACAATAGGTGATCAAGCCATTAAAAGGAATGAACGTTTTAAATACCTCAGCTCTATTGTTAAAAGTGTGGGTGATTGATGCGAGGCATCTCCCGCTTACAAAGCGGACACAGGGCATCTTTTTCTTACGAAGCAGATGTAGGATTGATCCAGTGACCGCACGCGGGCGGTTCACGCGAACAACATAGGGTTGAACTGGGCGCCCTGGTTTTGATTTCTTTCCAATTTTTAGTAAGTTTTCTCATTTCCTTTCATTCCATTTTAATCATTTCTTGTATATGTCTTGTATAAGATTTATATTTTGTTTTTGGCGCTTGTTTCTGTCAGGACAGTTGTTGGCGTGCTTTTTTTCCCTTATGGGGTTGTATCAACTATGAGTGGTGATCTGACTGTAGCTTGTTTGAGGTGGTGATATCCTTCCAAGGGGTCGATGGTGCTCCTTCCGTATCTCATTCCCGTCGGGGTACGTATCTCCTACTTTTCCATCCTCCGCATTTCTCCCTTCACAGCCTCCGCCTTTCCCTCCTTTCTCTTTGCTGCATCGCTGTCCCTGCCCTCCACCTAATTAACTATCACAACCCCACCAATCTTTCATGTCGCTGTTTAAATTTGTCCAACCGCCCTCCATCAATGTAGCCGCCCCCGAACAGCCTCTTGGTTGTTTTTATCTGCAGTTCCAACCACCGACGATGCCTTTCCCACTCTCTTCTTCACCGTCATTGCAGTTCCTGCACTCCACCTTTTGTTGTCGCCACTCAAAAATCCCTCGCCTTGCTGTTTTACCGCTGTTCCACCATCCTAGATTGCCGCCGCAGTCCAGAACAACACTTTCCTTGCTGTTAGCCCGCTGTCCAGCCCCTAGTCCTTATTGTGATCGCCCAGGACAGCCCGCCGTCTCATTGTTCCAGCAGTTTCTCACCTCCCTTTTGTCGTCATCATCGCTCCCTTGCTTCCGCTCTACCATCCAGCCTTCCAACCGCCCTTTTGCCACCTCTTTAGAGGTCCAAACCCTCGTCGATCACCGCCCTAGCGGTGTGTTGTGAGCCGTATCGTTGTTATTTCCTATTTCACTGTGTCAAGTGTTGTGTTTGTTGTTATTGTTTTTACTTTCAAGTGTGTTGGTTGTAACTGCATAGTTGTTTTCAGTAATAATATTTATTTTTCATATTTTGGT